TATATATATATAGAGAGAGAGAGAGAGAGAGAGTACTAAGATGAAGCAGAAAAATAATTATTGCTGACACTGACACTGGATTTCACTGTCCACCAAGAAGAGAATATTGACCAGTGAAGACGCGGCAAGTGTCGGAATTTCAACCAGGGGCTTTTAAGTAGGATAATATTCCTTTACAGGAAGATAAAGCATGCCTATGGCATTATTACATCGTCGCTCTTGCGAGAGCATAGTATGCTATCCCACAAAATATCTGTTCTTTTTATATGACGAAGGGATAGTAAATTATGTATTTCATATGCTCAGTCAAAGACAGGTCTGAATTCTGACAAGTTTTTGCTCCTAGATTTTTTTGGGGGAAATAGACCCGGCCACCAGAGAGCTTCCTGATAAAACCAAATTATAATCTTTTGCTTCTCTTGTAAAATGTATTCCGCTGGGATCAGCCAATCTTATCATAAAGGCGACGATACTTCAATAAGCAGTTTGAAACATTTATTCTATGAACGCTCTCAAGCACTTTGCCAATGAAATCTTAAAAGACCAATGTCTGAGAAAAAGTGTGAAACAACTTGGTTTTGACAGTACCTATTTCTAACTGAGAGAGCTTAATTTGTATACAGAAATCCGTTAACTGTTTTTACTTAGTTCCGAGAACAATTGTTGAAAGTGAAATGCTTTCAGTCCAGAGAGAGAAAAATAAATAAATAAATAAATAATGTTTTTTTTTTTAATACGCCAACATGGCCACCAGCAGAAATTCCGTTGAACCATCAGTGGCAGTTTGTAGAAGAAGCAGCAGTTATAGCGCCAGCAGCAGCAGCAGAAACATGAATGAACAGATTGCAGTTCTTTACAGCTTTTCTCATCCTGCACCAGGGTATAGGCCACGAACAAATACTTTCCACCGCTTCCTATCCTAGCCTAGCCCCTTAATATTATTCCGTGTCTTCCCACTTTTCTTAAGGGGGGGGGGGGGTATCTCGCTTATTACCTGACAAAATTTTACCAAATTTCACACATATAACAAGCATAGTAAGGAGTCTTAAAATCCGCACTCAAATTAGAGAAAAAAGTTTGGTTAACATGGATACAGCGGCCATATTGGATTTTGTTGACATGTCTTACGTAATGGTTACCGAATTTATTGCTCCTGGAAACTGATTGTTTTTTTGCATGCGTGTTAACAAACATTAGATCTAAAAATTGGTTTGTTGTTTTTGTCCTAAACAAATTAGAAAATTTTTAATTTTTTTTTTTCGTGAGGTAGCATTAAAGTTTGCAAAAAAATTGTGAAAATCCACACCTCAGACACCACCAAAAAAATCTATTCCACATATCGAAAATTCAACGTTTGTAATATTCCATCTTCTCTTCATTGTGTGAAAATTTCGTGAAGATTGGAGGAAAAATGGTGGAGTTATTCAAAAAAGTATAGAGGAAAGTCGTGTTTTGAGAAAACGGCCGATAAAGAAAAATAAAATATTGACTTTATAAGGAAATGGTGGTGACAAACATGCCCGGTATGGGAAAAAATACGGTTTTGGGGGGTTCTTATGCAATTAAATAGTTGAAGGAGAGGCTGAGAAAACTAAAAATGCCTACAACTCAAATTCCATAATTTTGACCCGAATCTTGACTTTGGGGGTGAAGCCCCCCCCCCCTCCCCCACCCCCACCCCTTAACATCGTTCTCTGCGACTTTTCTCCTTCCTCTCCATCACATTGCAGTAAGTTGAAAACATAGATTCCCTCTTCATTCTCCTTTGCCCTCAAAATAAGTTAATCTGTTATTCTTTTCCTACCGTATTTGAAATTTTTTAAAAATTGATTTTCTCTTCGTTTTTGTTTTTACTTCTATATGCTACTATTCTATTGCTCTGTCGACCAGTGTCTTGAGAGTGTTCAAGAGTGTTCAAGAAAACATTACGTATTTATAACATTACAGTGGATAAAGCCTTGTCCTTCTCTTGTGAACGAAGGTAATTGTCTCAACAGTTCAGGGACACACCCCCCTCCCCAACTCAATCCAGACACACAACCCGGAACGCGAAAGAGCTTAGTAATTTTATTCTAAAAGTACAGGAGCGATCGAAGGACAAGAGATAACTGCGACCCCTCCATGCTACACACACACACACACACACACACACACACACACACACACACACACACACACTCACACACACGCACGCACGCACGCACACACACACAGACACACACACACACACACACACACACACACAAACACACACATACACACACACACAACCCTGAACGCGAAAGAGTTTAACCTTCTCAAAAGTACAGCGGCGATCGAAGGACACCAGATGACTGCCGCACCCCCCCTCCTCCTCATTTCCCCCAAAGCTGCTCTCAAACTATAGCGAGTGCTCAACTAAGCATGCAAACCAAGGACCTTTCACCTTAGCCATAATCTTCTTGAAATAAACCGAGGACCTTAGCTACAACCTTGTTTGTTTTAGTGAGATTTTACGGCGCTCGTCCATTATAAAGTCATAAGAGCGCCAAGGGGTGGATATCAACAGAGAAGTCCAAACGGGGAATCAATCAGGCTTACGCTGCTCACCTCTCTAGCCTCAATAGAACAAAGTCTGCTTCGACTATAGGCACCCCAAAAATAGCAGTTCATCATAACCTTCTTAACACAAACCAAGGACCTTAGCTATAACCTTCTTAATACAAACCAAGGACTTTAGCTATGACCTTTTTGATACAAACGAAGGACTTTAGATATAACCTCATTGATACAGTGATACAAACCAAAGGCCTTAGAAAGCAGGAAATGAGGTGAAAGAAGAACATCTTTAGAGAAGAAAATGTATCGTCGCTATCGGGATTTGAACCCGGGACCTACTGAATGAGAGGCGAACACTTGATACAAACCAAGAACGTCAGCTATAACCTCTTTGATACAAACCAATAACGTTAGCTATAACCTCCTTGATACAAACGCATTCATGGCAAGCTGCAGGCCGCCGATACTCCTCTGATTGTATTGAGTTACATCGACGATTTGTCGAGCAGATTCTAATTTAATCCTTCCTCATCCTATGCCGTTCGCGTTCGCTCGGTGTGCGGTTGATGTGACCGCACCCTGAGACATTAGAAAATGTCACCGACATAGGCCAGGGGGTATGTTTACTCCAAAACCGACAACAATCGTTTTAATAATTGATACGACGAGCCTCGGCGGAGATACAACCGTTGGGGGTCCCCGGGGCGCAAAAAAGCAGCTTTCTTCGGTGTTTGGACATTTAGAAAAGAGTACTGGAGAGGCAATCAGGGAAATTTTCTAGTGTTATTGCCCTCCACCTCCTCCCCCCAATCCCCAAAATACCACCTTCCCCCCCAAAAAAACCGCAACAAAACACAAACA